GGTCCCTGCCTGCAGCCCGCACCCCCGCAGGCAAATGGGGCCCCGGATGGGCGCCCAGCCCGATCCCGCCTGGGACGCTGCGCGGAGTGCGTTTTCAGGAAGCAAAGCGTCCTTCACTTTAAGGGCCGAACTTGATTTCGAACCAGACCCGTCTTTGTTGGCGTTCCAAGCGGTGGTGTGATGGGTGATCCTGTGTTTTTAAGTGTCTTCAGGTCGCATTGGGCACCCCTCGCGCCTGCTTCCCTGCGACAGGCGAGGCCCACCCTGCCGGAGGCACCGGGGAGGCGAGGACCTGGACACGCAGGAGGCTCCCAGGCTTCACCGGCAAGAGGTCCCTTGCGGTGCGGGTGTTACGGCCAGAATCGTGTCCCCCAAAGTTCCCGTCTTGGAGTTCTAGCCCCCAGGACCTCCATAATCAGAGGTAAGGCCGTTACAGAGAGAACAAAGTTAAAGCCAGGTCGATCGGATGGGCCCTAACCCAATAGCACTGGTGTCCTTACCAAAAGGGGACATTGGGGGTGGATACGTACAGGGGGAGCCCCGTGAACACGGGACGGCCATCTGCAAACCCAGGAAGGACAGACAGAGACCGGGAACAGACACCCTCACGCCCGCGGGAGGACCCAGCCTGGGGACGCCTTCTCCTCGCACCTCAGGCTTCCCGGATGGTGAGAAAGTAACTTCCTGGAAATCATAGTTGCCAGAAGCCTTTCTGCTCTGGGCGAGGTCAGACCCTGGTCAGCAAACGGGGAAGAGCAGGCAGCCTCCATCCAGGCTGCTCCCAGGCCTGTCTGACTGAATGCTCCTAGCGACGGAGATGACCTGTTGGGTTTACACCTTTTTCCTTGCTCTTAAATGTGTTTTTACTAGAGGCCTGATGCACGAAATTCGTGCATGGGTAGGGTCCCTAGGCTTGGCTGATCCGGGGATCTGTGGGGTGATTCCCCACCTGCCCCACTGGCACCCGCCTTGGCTGGCCTGGGGCCTGTGGGCAGCTCCTGCATTGAGCGTCTGCCCCCTGGTGGTCAGTGCGCATCATAGCAACCAGTTCCACCCTTTGGCCAATTTGCATATTAGGCTTTTGTTATATAGGAGGGTTGATATTAGAGAGAGAGGAAGGGACAGGAAGAGAGAGAAACACCGATGTGAGAAACCAATCGACTGCCTCCCTACTGGGGATCAAGCATCCAGGGCGTTGTCCGACCGGGATTCAAACCAGTGACCTCTTGTGCAGGGGACGATGCCCAACCAACTGAGCTGCACCGGGCTGGGCTGGGTTTCTTTCTTAGCTTTAATTGTAGAACGTGGAAGTCTCTGCATTTGAGCCAGAAGGGGGTGGATCTGTCCAAGTGTGTATCGGGGGCAGAGAAAGAGCAGTGAGAACCGGGCCGTGTGGCTCAGTGGAAGGAGATCCTCCTATGCAGTAAGAAGTCACAGGTTTGATTCCCGGTTGGGGCACATGCCTAGGTTGCAGGCTCCACCCCCAGTAGGGGGTGTGCAGGGGGCAGGTGATCGAGGATGTTTCTCTCTAAAATCAATAAAAACATTAAAAAAAAAAAAAGAGCAGTGAGAGGTAGAAAAAGCAACTTCATCTTGCTCCAGGCGCATCGTGTGGGGTCCTGGTTGCACGGAGTGTGACGTGTGCATTTAAGCGAGTGCAGTAAACTGACTTTAGCAAGTAATACCTGCGTGACTCATTATTTCACCCAACACACGCTTGTGGGAGGCGTGCCCTTGCGGACATTCTGCCCGGCCCCGGAACAGAGCCACGAGTCAGAGCAGAGACTGCCCTCCTGGAGCTGGTGGGGAGGTGGCTAGTCCAGTGGCAACGCTGGGAGATGCGGTTGTGATGTGAGTGACCCGGGGGGACATGGGAGATGGGATCTGTGGTGGGGGGTGGAGAGGGGGATGCGAGCACTCGCCTGGCCCTGCCGGCCTCAGGATGCTCCTGGACTGGCCTTTGAAAAGGTGTTTGTCTCCTCGCCATGCAGAGTGAACGGAGAACAAGACAAACACCGCCCGTGCCTGGGAGACACATAGGCCAACAGCCTGGTGTGTAGATACTCAACAGCCTGAGACGAGAGCTGTGAAGTACAGGGGGCCCGGGCACCCCCCCCTTCCCCCCAGGCGCCCAGCCTCTCCGCAGGTGCGGGTGCCGCGGGGAAGTCCCTGCAGAGGAAATGTTTCCACCTTGAATCTTGGCGGCGAGCTGGCTTTGTGCTGGTGCTTTCAGGGGTCAGAAGGTCCCACTTCGGGCGTCCATTTATGCCGGGGTTCATGTCCCAGCATCAAGAAGGGTTCAGGCATCTGGAAAAGGCGCTGTGCATAGATGGCATAGAAATCCAGAGACGACTAATAAAGAGTCCGGAGACGAGATATAACTTTGAAAGGCATTGGGGGTCAGCGGACCTTCAGCTAAAGGAACTGAAGACGGTCCCTCCTTGTCTAGGATGCCCGCTTTTCTTAACACAATTTGTCCCAAGACAAGGTGGAGACAATACACTTCAAAGGGCACAGAAGCATTTTCAGAATGGGGGAATAGCCTACGCTGTTCAGGTGTTTGGCCAGGAGGAGGCAATAACATGTAGATTAAGATGCCCTTTAACTGTCTGGCAGCCACAATCAGTTTCCTATTCAGGTTTGGGGAAATGCCTTTAGCCATTCCCAACAGGTGACTACCTGTGTGACTCAACCCTGTTGAGTCCCCAAGTCTCATCAACCTTTTTTTTTTTACTGATTTCAGAGCAGAAGGGAGAGGGAGAGATGGAAACATCAGCAATGAGAATCATCGATTGGCTGCCTCCTGCATGGCCCACACTGGGGATCGTGCCCACAGCCTGGCAAGTGCCCTGACCAGGAATTGAGCCGTGACTTCCTGGTTCATAGGCCGACGCTCACCACTGAGCCATGACTGCTGGGCACTAGTTGCATATTTCAATAGGAGGGCATGGATATAAAACCAGGATTTGTCACTGTCCAGCGGGGTGGCAACCTCGGCCCAGCTGCGTATGCCAGCGCTGTGGTCCACGTTTCACATCCAGCCCCTAAAGGGCATTCCTACCACCTTCCTGCAAGGGCACCAGCGTCCTTGCCTGACCCTGTGCCCACCAAACACCATCCCCCCTCTTACCATGGGCCATTTCACAGGCTTGTCTGTGGTGAGGATTGTGTCCGTCAGGGGTGGACCCAGCGGGTGTTTCTCAGCCACAGAAAGCAAAAGCCAACTGTGTAAACGACAAAGGCAGTCCGGGCCCAGGTGTGCGTCGGCCATGCTTTGCTCGCGGCCCGTGGCCCGGTCCCCCTCTTGGTGTTGGGTTCATCCTTGGGATGGAGCAGAGAGCAAGCAGGATGTTTGGGAAGCGTTTGCCTTCCACCGGAGCCAAGGAGGGGACAGCAAGAGAGACGGGAGGCTTGTTGGGTGGCGGGGGCAACGGGGTGTGCCCTGGCTGCTGCTGGCGTGAACAGGGGCGGGGGGTGGGGCAGTTTTAGGGGAATCACTGAAACAGGCACCTGAGTGGCCTGAAGTCTCTGGAGGGGAGAGGCTGGCAGGAGCTGCCACCTTGGTGATGTGAGGAAGTCACGGCTGAGAGGCCAGTCTCAAGTGGGGCCAGCTTTCTGGTGGGCTCGGTGCACCCAGCTGACCGCAGGCCCCTGACCCGGGGAGATCCTCGTCTTGCAAAAACACTGTTCAGCAGCGTGAGGGTGTGGGGGCCTCGGGGTCAGGAGGCTGTCCAGAGAGGGTCCCCCCACCCCAGGGAGCAGTTATGGGAGATCCTCACGGGAGACGAGTCCTGAGAGCACTGCCCCAAAGTCCATTGGGTCGTCCTGTCCCCGAGCCACCACAGAGGGGCCAGCGTGATAAGAGGGGGGAGGGGGAGAAGGGGTGAGCTTGGGGACAGCCAAGGGTTGAGATTGGTGGGGGGATGGAGATTTGATTCAGATGAGACTGGACTCTGGTTCTCCAAATGCTCCTCCTCCAATAGGTGTGACCCGGGCGGGTGTGACTGTGCCTGAGACACGGGCAGGGCCAGGGGCATGCTGAGGGCAGGGCTGGGGAGGCAGAAAGGAGATCCTAGTTTTCCAGCTGAGCGCATCCTGTTCCTTCACCTTCAAGGAGCCAGAAAGAAGCAGCTGGGGCAGGGCAGCCAGCCTGTGGTGTGCCCGCAGGGACAGGAGAGTGTGGACAGGTGAGCAGGGACAGGTGAACTGGGACAGGTGAACTGGGACAAGTGAGTGTGGACAGGAGAGCAGATGTCTTCCCCGTCAAGGCTTGGGCTCCCAGGACAGTAGGGACCCAGACTGGCTGACATGAGGTCTCCGCCACCACGGCACAGCCTGGGACGGCGTGCTGGGAACAGAAGATGAGAAGGATCCTGTGCTGCGGCCTGGCCTGGGAGTGAGGCAGCCATCCGGGCTCCGGGCCTCAGGGACGCCCTGCACACCCTGGGGTGGTGGGAGAAGTTAGGGTGCCCCTGATGTTTATGTGATGTATCACGTTTATTGATTTGCGGATATTGTACCATCCTTGCATCCCTGGGATAAATCCTACTTGGTCATTGTGTATGATCTTTCTGATGTACTGCTGGATCCGATCCATCATCTATCCATCCAACCATCCATCCATCCATCCATCCATCCATCCATCCATCCATCCATCCAGGGCTCTCCTGCAGGGCTTGGCCCCACTGGTCACCTGAATACATGGACAATATCCTGCATGCCCCTGTGACTTAGGGTGGGAGAAGTTAGGGGGCACCCTTCAACCAGAAAAGGCAGTAAGCTCTCCGCCCAGGAGGTCAGAGCCTGGCGCCCCTGGGAGCTGGAGACAGACCCTGAGAACTAAGGCACCTGCCCTGACCGCCCAGATGTGAGCAGTGCGGGCCCACAGGCTGCGGCCGGCCTGGTGGGCAGTCACAGGTCTGCGTGGGGAGCGGGGAGGACAGCGAGCAGGCGGTGGTCCTGGTCT